GCTCCCTGTCTGTTCCGTTGTCCCACTGGCGGGGCGTTTTCCGTGGTGCCTCCTCAGTGGCTCCATAGAGCAGTTCTGCCCTAAACATCCTGTGCGGCCCAAGGGCCTTTGAGGGGGGAATTCTCCAGGTCGGGGTTGCTGACTTCTGGGTATGTCCACGTTTACCTTTCCAGGTAACGCCAAACTGTTTTCCAAAGAGCTGGTACCAGTCTGAGGCCTCGAGGGATACTTGAGCGCCTCTGCACACCTCCCTACCCCTCCCAGGTGCCAGGCGGGACTGTGGTTTCGCTGCTCCTTCCCCTGACCGCTAGTGAGGCTGCGGCCTGCCGTGGGGCAGCCCCCGAGTTGACCCCAAGCGAGATCCGTGGGCTCCTCCTGGGGACTCACATCTTTTTTTTTAATTTTTTTTTTTTGAGACAGAGTCTCACTCTGTTGCCCAGGCTAGAGTGAGTGCCGTGGCATCAGCCTAGCTCACAGCAACCTCAAACTCCTGGGCTCAAGTGATCCTCCTGCCTCAGCCTCCAGAGTAGCTGGGACTACAGGCATGCGCCACCATGCCCGGCTAACTTTTTTTTTTTTCTATATATATTAGTTGGCCAATTAATTTCTTTCTATTTATAGTAGAGACGGGGTCTCGCTCTTGCTCAGGCTGGTTTCGAACTCCTGACTTCGAGCTATCCGCCCGCCTCGGCCTCCCAGAGTGCTAGGATTACAGGCGTGAGCCACCGCGCCTGGCCGGGACTCACTTCTTGATGTCACTTCTCGAGGAGGCTGCAGGAAGGCTCGAGCCTCAGTCTCGGGTGCTCTCTCTGACTCCCCGGGGAGCGCGCCTTGGTGAGTGCCCATCACCAGGTTGTGGGGCGCCCACAGAGAGGCCCCGTGGCAATAAGCGAAAGTGGCCATCCAGCCACAGCCACGAGGGAGCTTAGCAGTGGGCCCTGCAGCTCCGGGTGACCCTTCGGATGACACTGGGGCCCTGGCCAGCAGCGAGACTGCAGCTCCGTGGGAGACCTTAAGCCAGGGGTCCCCAACTACGCTTGTCCCGGATTCCTGACCCACGGAGGCCGAGGTCACAAAGGCTTGTTATTTACGGCGGAGAGTTTGGAGTGACCTGTCTGTGGAGGTCGGTAGAGAACTCTGTCCCCTTTCTTGTGTTGACGAGACACCTGGTGTGAAATATGTTTTCCGTGTATGTCTGATTGATTTGTAGGGACTCTTTGTATTAACACACGCTGGACATCAGCCCTTTTCCCAGGTGAGGCTTGTCATTTCACTTCGTGGTATGTTTTGATGAAAGAAAATTTCTTCATTTGGCCAATTTACTCCATTTCATCCTTTTTTAAAATAGGTCATGTTTTGGGGTTTGGTTGAAGGTACTCTTTTCCTACTCCAGGGTGAGGAAGGCATTCTCTCACATTTTTTTCCTGAACATGGTTTTGCACATTTACGTTAAACACAAGCGCAGACTTTGGAGCCGGGCTGCCTGCGTCCACACCCTACCCTGCCTCTGTGGAGCCATTTCTTCACTCTGTCTCCCGTGAGCGACAGTAGTGCCTTTCTCAGAGGGCTGTTGTGAGGGTTAATCGAGCTGATACACTAGAGTCTCGCTGTGCCACCTGGGCAGAGTGCAGTGGTGTCATCACAGCTCACAGCAACCTCCAACTCCTGGGCTCAAATGATCCTCCTGCCTCAGCCTCCCGAGTAGCTAGGATTACAGGCGCCACCATACCAAGATAATTTTTCTATTATTATTATTATTATTATTTTTTGTAGTCACTCGGCTAATTTTTTTCCCTATTTTTAGTAGGGATGGGGTCTCACTGTTGCTTAGGCTGGTCTCGATCTCCTGACCATAAGTGATCCTCCTGCCTCAGCTTCCCAGAGTGCTAGGATTACAGGCGTGAGCCACCGCCTGAATGTTACTAATTATTATTTGTCTACTGATGTGATATCAGGATCCACTTCTCTTTTTAATCCTCTGCTATCATTGTTTATCTACGTGAACAAAAGTGCTCTGAAAAGAAATTTGGAGGAAAGGGGCTTAGCTTGCAAACCAGGGAGACACAGCCTCCTTCGGTCCTGGAACAGGGACAGGTTCGGTTTTTGTAGCGAAAGTTCCCAAACAGGTCCGTTTATGCAAATGAAGGATGCAAACTTGCTTAGATCTGGTTAGTCGATGTAGCTGGGTTCTGATTGGTTGGTACAGCTGATCTCTGATTGGTTGGCTCAGGTGAGCTCTGAAAATCCCGGAGTTAAATAGAAATGAGGGTTTTTGGAGAACTCGTACTAAAAGTGTGACCTTTAGTCAGTGAATCATCGCCTGGCTATCTGTGGAGTTAGGCCCAGCCTCTGGGATGCGTCTGGAAGGCTTGGCCCTCAGACTGGCCCAGGTTAGGCCGTGGGCCCTGGCCCTGTGTCCCTCTGAGCTGAGCCATTGTCCTGGGCGCTGGCCGCGGGGGGCTGCCTCGTTCCGATGGCTGTGCCTCGAAGTGCATGGTCCCAATGCCGGCACCTCCGTGCCAGGCCAGCACGCGTGTCTGCCTCCCGTGGCCTGCCCGTGTTCACTTGGCTGCTCGATCCCGAACTGCTAACCCACCACTCCGCTCAGGGTTCTTCCTGCTCTAACCTGAGCACTCGCCGCCCGACTCTGCGCTTAGAAGCTACTTGGGTCGGTTCCCATTCTCCTCCCTCCAGTGTGATTCTGTTAGCCACCTGATCTGTGTGTGGCGCGTTTACTTCTGGGTTCCGTTTCAGAGACCTTTTTCCCCTACCCTTATTGGTTTAATTATCTTGTGTTCCGTAAGTGGGCGAAATGTTGATGTGGCCCCCGGAGCCGCAGCTGCCGCCTGGCCCACGCCCTGCCCGGCCCCGCCTGCCCCGCGACCTGGCCGGGCGCCCACGCTGCATTGGGGTGTCGTGTCCCCTTGGTCTTCCTATCCTTGTCTTTTGTCACCTTCATGTTTTGGATTCGTCTGACACAGTCTCGTGGTTAGCCTTGCAGCTGTGCCTTTGGGGTGGGAAAGCCGCATGGGCGGCGTGGCTCTGTGAGGCTGCTGTGTCCCACATCTGGTGACCCTGACTTTGACCCCTTGGTGAGGCCACGCCTGCCGGTTCTCCAGGGTAAAGTCAGCGTGTCCCGTCGTCATTAGTCAACATCCTGCGGGGAAATAGTTTGAGACTGTGCCGACCCCCTCCCCCCCTCCCGTCGAGTTTTGTTGCCAGTTTTATGTTCATCTACAGGCGTCCGACTCGGTTTCCCTCTTCCCTGCAGTTGTGTCCGGTCTGCCTCGGAGCTTTACTGTCAGGTCCTTGGGCCGCTAAGTCTGTCCTGGGGCTGGTGGCTTTCCCCGAGCTTCCAGGCAGCTGTTCCTGCCCCTAGACCACCGCTTGGTGACCTTTGCTCTCTCACTCTGGCTGGTCACCACCCGTGAACATCCTGGGGCCCAACTGACTTCTCCACCTGCCCACGGCTGGGGCCTGCTGCCTCTTCTGGGCAGGACCCCAGGTCTGCCTGGCTGGCCCAACCCCATGTCCTGGTCCTCTTGCTTTGTGTGGGGGGTGGCAGGTCCATGGCACCTCCCCCAGATCTCCTGAGAGCCAGAGCCCCTCTCGGCTGCTTCCCGTCCGTCCAGGGTCCGGGTGTTTGGGCTGGAGCTTGGGGGCACCTCACCTGCCCACGGATGGCAGGGGGCACCAGGACCCGGCCTGTCCTATTATTATTCTCCAAGGGCCCTTGGTGCATCACAGACAGTCCCCAAATTACCACGGCCCATCTTACAGTTTTTCTTTTTTTTTTGAGACAGCTTCACTCTGTTCGCCCCAGGCTAGAGCTGAGTGCCCGCGTGGCATTTCAGTCGGCCTCACAGCAAGCGCTCAATGACTCCTGGGGCCTTAGGCCAAGCCCGCTGCGCTCAGGCCTCGCGTTGAGTAGGCTGGACTAGCAGCGCAGCACCACTGATGCCGTGGCTAAGTTTTCTATTTGGTGTTGGTGTAAGAGACGAGAGTCGCGGGCCTGCGGTGCCCAGGTGGGGTCGTCGAACTCCTGAGCCCAAATGATGTCGTCCTCGCCTTCGGCCACCCAGGGAGCTGCTTGGATTACAGGCATGAGCCACTGAGCCCGGCCCAACTTAGGGTTTTTCAACTATACAGTGACAAGAGATCACTGCGCATTCCCGTAGAAACCTGACTCCAGGCCGGGCGCGGTGGCTCGCACGCCTGCTAAAATCCTAGGCACTCTGGAGGCCAAGGTGGGCGGATGCTCCAAGGTCGCAGAGTTTCAAAAACGAGCCTGAGCCAGACCCCTTCTCTACTATAAAAAAAAAGAAAGAAATTAATTGTACAACTAAAACGTAAATAGGAAAAAAAATCAGCCGCCCGGGGCGCTGGGTGGCACATGCGCTTGTGGAGTGCCCAGCTACTCGGAGGGCTGAGGCAGGAGATGCTTGAGTCAGCGCGCAGTTTTGAGGTGTTGCTGTGAGGCGTAGGCTGGACGCCACGGCACTCACTCTAGCTGGGCAACAGAGTGGACCCTGTCTCAAAAAGAAACCTGACTCCGCGCACCCACGGGGCCACTTCAGCACGGTTTCCAGCAAGTCCCTTGAGGCGTTCATGTGACTTCGCTTCGTGTTAGCATGTTCAGCGGACGTGTGTGCTGGCTCTGGCGCTGCTGAGTCCTTGAGCCGCGCGGGGTGAGGCTGAGCCGTGCGTATCAGCTGCGCCGCGCAGCGCCAGCGTGCGCAGTGGCGCCATCACGCTCACCGCGAGCCCGGCTCCTCGGACTGCCGGGGCTAGCCGCGCCAGACCCAGCGTCGTGTTTGCCACTTAGGATGTTTTCAGCTAGATGGGTTTACCCGAATTGGCGGCCGCCGCCCCCCGCCGCCCACTGCTGAGTTCGCTTGAGCATCTGCAGCCTTCTTGAGAGACGCAGGCGGGCCCGCGCGCCGCCCGCCCCCCCTGGGTGGCGCGTCACGCAGCTCAGCCCTGCCGTCTAGTCAAAGGCCCCTTCACCGTGTCCTGGGGTCCTCGGCCTCAGGCCCCACTTCCTCCCTTCTGCGCCCTCTCCCCCCGTCTTCCACGCCTGCCCCTGCCTGTGTCCAGCAGGTGGGCGCCGGCCGGACGTCTGGAGGCTGCCGTGCTGGGCTGTCTGCCAAGGCTCTTCCTGGGGCCCGTTTCTGGTGCCCGAGGCCCATGCTTGGGCCTGTTGAGCTCCCCAGAGAAGGTTCTGGACTCCCGGCCACACGGCTGGCCCTGCTCTCCCGTCCCTGCGCCCCGTGGGGTGGGGGTCTCCAGCCGCGCCTGGGGTTCTCGCCCCCCGGCCTCGGCCCCGCGGTCCCCCTGCCTCTGTCACCAGCAGCGGCACCTGCTCCCGCCCTGCCTCTCGCCGGCAAGACAGAAACAAGCAACTGGAAACCTGGGTGTGGCTCAGCGCGTCGCGTGGTGCCGGGAAGCAGCAAGACGCGCCGGGGCCTTTGCTCCGCCCGCCACGTGCACCCGGACCTCCACCTTTAACCTCTAGCACGCTCACGCACTCTGGCTGCCGCGGCATTTGGGCGGGACACGGAAACCACGCGGGCACGAGGCCCCTCTCGGTGGCGCTGCCGGCCGCACTGAGCCCCGCTCCTTGCCGGCCGTGGAGCTGGGACCTGGCGCCAGACTGTCTGGGGAGGGGCGGTGGCCGCGCACAGACCCAGCGGGGCCCAGCCCCGGGCCCTGCTCTGACGCCGGCGGACTCGGCGTTGGCCTGTCCACGGGGCCTCGCACTCTCCTCGTCCTACGACAGCCTGGACACGGCTGATTTTCTGCCTCTCCGCCGGGGCAGGAACGAGTGGAGCCCCACCGGCAAGGGACGCACGGCCACCAGCTCAGCCCAGCCACGGCGGCCGGCAGTCAGGGAAGCTTCTCGAGGTGCTGGTGCGGCAGCTGTCTCCAGATCAGTCTTGGGGGACCCTGCAAGGTGCCTGCAAGGGCGCCCCTCAGGTGGGCGCCGGTCAGGTGGGCGCCCCTCAGGTGGGCGCCGCTCAGGTGGGCGTCCCTCAGATGGGCCCCGGTCAGGTGGGCGTCCCTCAGGTGGGCACCGCTCAGGTGAGGGTCCCTCAGATGGGCACCGGTCAGGTGGGCGTCCCTCAGGTGGGCACCGCTCAGGTGAGCGTCCCTCAGGTGGGCGCCGCTCAGGTGGGCGTCCCTCAGGTGGGCGCTGCTCAGGTGGGCGTCCCTCAGGTGGGCGTCCCTCAGGTGGGCGTCCCTCAGATGGGCCCCGGTCAGGTGGGCGCCGCTCAGGTGGGCACGTCGTCCCCTCGGCCAGCACGCAGCTGGACCCTGCCGAATTCCGCACTTGGACGTCTCCCGGCACCTCCTCCTGCTGGGACGGGCACCTGCCTGGCCGGTGCTGGTCCTGGAGACGCCACCGTGGAGCCGCCGCGGAGCAGGTGCCCCGGCACATCCCGGAAGTGGCTCTGTAGGGGGTGAGGGCGCCCCACGTGGGCTCTGCACAAGAACAAAGGTCGGCTGATAAGAGAGGGCTTTGGAGCTGGTCCCAGCCGGGCCGGCCGGCTGTGGCAGCGAGCAAGGGATCCTGGCGCAGCGGCCCGGTTCCGTGCTCAGGACGGGCAGGTGCCCGGCGAGGCCCCGCACCCGGGCCTGGCAGGACACTCGCAGGCAGGGGTGCGGCTGTGGGCCTGCTCAGTCTGTCCCCTCGGCGGGAGCCGGCCGACAGCTCACAGGGGCTGGTGCTGCAGAAGCCCCTCCTCGCTCCCGCCCTCCCCCAAGGGGGTAAACGCAGCTGCACATCTGAAACGGTGATAAAAGCGAGGTTTGAGGACAGCTCCCTGGACTCTGGTCTGCGCTGGCGGCCGTGTCGGTGACGCTGGGCCTCAGCTCAGAGGCCGGAGGGCTGCCTGTCTCCCGGCCCGGGATTTGCTCTCACGGTGCGTGAAGCATGTGTGCTCTTTGTCCCTGGTTCCCTGGGACCCTCTGTCACCCACCGCTGTGCTCCCTCCTGCGTCCACGCTCACGGGGTGCGTGGGGGCCGGCGCCCAGCGGAGTCGGAGGGTCGGCGGGTTGGGACTCTGCCCCACCCTGGGGCCTCGGGGTGGCGGGAGACAAAGGCCATAAAGCTCCTGAGCGAGACAGTTGGACGATCCTCATGGCGCTCATGCGGCTGCCAGGGCCCCCACCGCACGTGCGTCTCCGTCCGCGTCCCTACACCTGCGTGGCAACATGCGTCCTTCCTGGGCTTGGTGGACTGTTCCCGTGAGTTCACCAAACCCGACGGGGGGCCGTGGGGACCTTGGTTGGCAGCTGGTTGGTCACCGGCGTGGGGAGGACCTGCTGCCTGGGAGTGCGCCGGCTCCCGCGGGGAGCGCCGGAGCGACCAGAGCTGGTCTCCCGCGTTGCTGCGCCATGGGGGGTCTGCCCTCCTGTTCACAGCGCCCCGCCCACGGAGAACTGCCACCTGTTCTTCTGTTGTGTTCAAACACACCTCAGGGTGTGTTCTGTTTTGCTGTTTTCCTAACGGAAAACGCCGCGTCAAGCGCCCACCTGCGAGCAGACTTCCGAGGGAGCCTCGCGGGGCCCACGCGTGTCCCCCGCCTCCCTGGCCAGCACCAGCCTCGGTGACGTGCGTTGTTAATTTCCCTTTCGAGGTTCCCTGTCACCTGCATCATTCTTGAAAAGTCACACCCAGACAGTTTCGGTCTGGAATCCGTTTCCCACCTGGGACAGTCGGCGGCGTGGACCGCAGTGTGGTGGCCGCCGCAGGGGCGGCCCCATGGCAGCTCTGCACCTGGCGGCCCTCGTGCTGGCGAAGGAGCTAAAGAGTAATTCTGAAACTCGCGTTTCTTTCTTTTTGGTTTTTTTTTTTTTTTGAGACTCAGTCTCAGTTTGTTGCCCAGGCTAGAGTGAGTGCCGTGGCGTCAGCCTCGCTCACAGCAACCTCAAACTCCTGGGCTCAGGCGATCCTCCTGCCTCAGCCTCCCGAGTAGCTGGGACTACAGGCATGCGCCACCATGCCCAGCTAATTTTTTCTATATATATTAGTTGGCCAATTAATTTCTTTCTATTTATGGTAGAGACGGGGTCTCGCTCTTGCTCAGGCTGGTTTCGAACTCCCGACCTCGAGCAATCCGCCCGCCTCGGCCTCCCAGAGTGCTAGGATTACAGGCATGAGCCACCGCGCCCGGCCTTGAAACTCGGATTTCTTCTGGGCTTCTCCGACTTCACTAGTCTGGGCCGGAGCTGGCGCTTTCTGCCTGCCTGAGCACCGGGGTGTGGAGGCTTGCACCCCGTGGCAGGCGCCTGCGTGGGAGGAGGGTCGGAGACCGCTGGGCCTCGTGGCTGCAGGGCACAGAGGCTGGGGGTGGGGAGGCTGTGCTCCATGCCGTTCCCGGCCTGGGGGGCAGGCGGGGAGCTGGGGCGGGACGGCAGGGGCGGCACGGTGGGTCCCAGGACCAGGCGTGAGCGGAGCCGTGGGCGCTAAGTTGGTACAGAGCCTTCCAGTGCCGACCGTGTGGGGCCATGTCCTGTGACCGGGCAGTTCCTCCTGGGCACGGGCCCAGCAGACACGCATGAAGAGCTGTGCACAGGACGTTCGCAGCAGCGCGGCCCACACGCTCTTTGGCAGGACAGGTGAATCGCAGCGGCGCGATGCTGCGCGGTGGCGAGGGGGGATGTGCCCGGCACAGACGGGTCTTTGTTTAAAGCCAGCTTCTCGTTCAAGCTCTTTGTACGAGGAGAACGCCGCGTCGGTCGATGGTGGTTTCCGACTCCTCGTGTGCCTTGCCGTCAGTGCTGAGCAGACGTCAGCGCTGCCCTGGGACTCCCTCCTCCCATCCCCGTCCCCGACCGTGGGCGCCCGGGCCGCGCAGCCGCTCCCCGGGAGCACGGCGCCCACAGAGGAGCACGAGGACCTGCATTGCCGGCAGCGGCAGTTTTGCCTGAGGCGCTGTGAGTTTCCCAGATAAAACAGAGAGGCCGTCCTGGCAGAAGGGAGTCGCCCGGCCAGGTGTGGGCCAGACAGTGGGTGTCTGCGATCTGAGTTTATTCTGTATCACACGGGACGTGCTGACCGGCTTGTCCGCCCCTGCCCGGCACTTGCAGCTCTGCTGGCTGCTGCACCTGTCGGTCCTGCCGGTGTCTCTGCGCGTCCGCTCCTTGCCACGGCCTCAGGTTTGGTTTGGGAACAAAGAGGCTGCAGCGGCGGGGAACAGGTGCCACGGTGGAGTCCCTGGTGCCGCGACGAGGGGGGAGCGGCCCTCCGCACCTGGGAAGGGGGGAGGGTCAGGTGGGGCCGGCGGGATGGGCCCAGGGCGGAATCCAGGGCCACGTGCCGGCGTTCCCGGGTGGGATCGTGCGTGTCCTGCTACTCCAGAGCCCCCTGCCCAGCGAGGAGCACGGGGCGGCGGGTGAGGGGAACATTGTGAGCTCGTCTCAGTCACCCTGAGTCTCGGGTGCCTGGCGGACTCGCAGGCGGATGGACAGGGAATTCAGAAGGGCCAGGGGAGGTCCCCACTGGGGTGACAGTGTGAGCCCCTCAATATAAATATACGATAATATAATGCATATTATGTGCATACAATATGTAAAGTATAAAAGTATGTGGTGCTGTTGCAGGTGGGGAGGAAACCCCGACCTGCAGGCGGAGATTGAGGGGTGAAGGCTGGGCCAGCCAGGTGGCCAGACACTGCCCTGCACACCGGGGACAGAAGGGGCGACGCAGAACAGGCCGTTTTCATGCATGACTGAGCTCCCCCAAAAGGAAGGGAAACCCCAGATGTCAGAAACGGGAAACGAGAAATCTAAGCAGGCTGCTGTCTGGAGCAGCCCGGCAGGCAGGGCCACCGGCTTGGGCTTTGACGTCCGCCAGGCGGGAGGTGGGACCCGGGCCACTGCGGGCCGGCCGGCATCTGTTGCCACCACTAGGAATAGGTGCCGCGGCCACACGAGGGACAGTGAGCCTTCCAGCTGTGCTGTGATCTTGGTGGGGTCCCGCTTGAGAAGTCGCAGGTAACACAGGTCTGAGCAGCAGGTGGGTGGCATAAAATTGGTCCTGGGCCAGTGACATCCTGGGGGCAGGTGGCGGAGGGCAGAGGCGACCCCCACCCCTGTTCAGAAGGTGCGCCCACCGACAGGTGTGCAGGACGCAAAGTGCACCAGGAAGCAGCCCCCACACAAGGCTTGGCTCACACACAGAGAAAGGTGGGGTTAGGCGGCTGACATCTTTGGATAATGAACTGGCAGGGAACGTGAAATAAAAGCTGTGGAGGAGAAACGGAAAAGTTAAGGGTAAGAACAGGACATGAGAAAACAGGCCGATTCGAAAAGGAACCAGACAGAATTTGCATTACTGAAAAAATACGACAATTGAAATAAAAAACTCAGCGGATAAAAGTATCTGTTGGGGGCACCTGTGGGGCAGCCAGCAAAAAAGGACCAGTCACAGGACGAGACCCGGGGGAGGCAGGAGCGTCTTTTCTGGGAGGGGCTTTCGCTGGTTCCGGGAGCAGCAGCTGGGCAGGTGCACGGGTGACCGAGTGACGGTCACAGAGGCCGGGGCCAAGGCCAGCATCCGGCCCGGGCTGAGCTGCACCAGCCAAAGAAGGGGCAGAGGGACCCCGGAGCTCACGGGGTCTGTGGCGCCAGGTGGTCTTAGAGCTCTGCACCCTCCCCTGCGGCAAAGGAAAGACGGGCTGAGAGCGCGTGCGTGGAGGCTAAGTGTGGAGGCCAAGTGTGGAGGCCATGCTGCTGCAGCCTGGGAGGGCTAGGGGTGCCTGGGCAGGGGTGGAGGAGAAAGAGCCCGGTTCGGATTTGATTCCATTTTTAGTAGTTCTGGCAGGATTTGCTAGAGGGCCAGGGGGAGGAGGGGATTAACCCTTTGCACTCGGATGTCGAGTGTGACCCGACACGGTTGGCATCGGTAGCAGCTCGTCTGTCGGGCCACACTCATGTAGTTTTACCGCGGGGGGAAGGGGGACTTTAGTCTATTTTTACAGTTTCGTTTCTTGTTTTCATGAGCATGAAAGGACAAGTAAAATGTAAATGCAGAGATGGTCCACTAACTTCCAGGGGTGGATTATTATCCACTAACTTAGAGCAACGTTTCGATGGAAAGCTCCAGATAATCACACCTCACCCTAGCAAAAAACACAAAGATTGTGTTGTTTGTTCTAACAGAAAAATCAAAGGAGGAAGAAGAGAGACGATTTATATTTGTGAAACATGTGAATGTAAACCAGTCTCATGTGGCTGATGAATGTTAAAAAATATCAACACCATGAAAATATAGAGATTAAAATTACTCTTTGAATGTATCAATAATTGAAATATAAAAAAATCCAGGCGCGGTGCGGTGGCTCACGCCTGTAATCCTAGCACTCTGGAGGCTGAGCGGGGCGGATTGCTCAAGGTCAGGAGTTCAAAAACCACCCTGAGCGAGACCCGTCTCTACCAAAAATAGAAAGAAATTAATTGACCAACTAAAAATATATATACAAAAATTAGCTGGGCATGGTGGCCATGCTGTAGTCCCAGCTACTCGCGGGAGGCTGAGGCAGTAGGATCACTTTAACCCAGGAGATTGAGGTTGCTGTGAGCTAGCTGACGCCACGGCACTCACTATAGCCTGGGCAACAAATGAGACTCTGTCTCAAAAAAAAAAAAAAAAAAAAAAAAACATCCAAATAATTGTATGAAAGAGAACTCCAGTTTTTATTCTCTGCCGTGCTTTGTAAAATCTGGGGTATTTAAAAAATTAAATCCCTACTCAATGATCTTGATCTTTGAGGTGAAAAAAATAAATAAATAAAAATAAAAAATTAAATCCCGAGTAGAATAAAGGAATCGAGAAAAAAGAAGCGAGTGCAAAGGGTTAAAGTTTTTGGTTTGACCAATTTAGGGTGAGAGAGAACTGGACTTGGCAGCCTTTCTGCTTTTTTAGGGGAGTGGACTAAGATATATATCTGAAAATAAGGCCCAAGTTCCATATTTGCATTTTTAAAGTAATTCTACATTGGTGATTAAAAATTTTAAGAGGGCTAAATGTTCCAAATAAGTAGTGTGTTTCTTTTCTTTTTTTTTTACTTTTTTTTCTTTTTTTTAACTCAAGGACATGACCAAAGTAATGTGTTTCTTTTTCTTAGCATTGTAGCCTCTGTCTCCACGCTTTGAGGGGGAAGAGGCCGTCCGCGATCCATGTTGTCCTCCTCCGGGGCAGAGCGGCTCTCGGGGCGACATCACCATGTCATCCTCCACAAAAGCCCACGCGCTGGGCGAGCTCGCTCCCGGCTGCGAGGAGAGGCCGAAGGGAAAGTCTCTGCTCGCCTGGGGCTCCCTGTTTGGTCACCGGAGTGAGAAGATCATCTTTGCCAAGAGCGAGGGCGGCCCCGGTGAGAGCGTGCTGACCGTCACCATCACCGAGACCACGGTCATCGAGTCGGACCTGGGCGTGTGGAGCTCGCGTGCGCTGCTCTACCTGGCGCTGTGGTTCTTCTTCAGCTTCTCCACGCTCTTCCTCAACAAGCACATCCTGTCCCTGCTGGAGGGCGAGCCCAGCACGCTAGGTAAGCCACCTGGCAGGTAACACACCTGGCAGGTAACACACCTGGCAGGTAACACACCTGGCAGGTAACACACCTGGCAGGTAACACACCGGGCAACAGGGCAGGAGCCAACCACTTTGCTCACTGGCAACAAGTTCAGAGAACCTCGGTCACCTGGGAGGTGGAGGAGACCCGCAGAGGGGGCAGGACGGGGCTGGGCCCTCCTGTAGTGTGGGGTGAGGGTCCCCCTCCCCGTGCGTGGAAAGGGCGTCGTCCTCTCTGCTCACGTGGCTTCTCCCTCTGCCGCACAGGTGCCGTGCAGATGCTGTCGACCACGTTCATCGGGTGTATCAAAATATTTGTTCCCTGCTGTTTGTACCAGCACAAAGCGCGGCTCTCGTATCCGCCCAACTTCATCATGACTATGCTATTCGTGGGCCTAATGAGGTGAGAATCTCACATTTTTGGTCGAGCGTCTGATGTGTTGATACAAAGCACCTTTCCCGTCCCTGAGAGTGGGGCCTCTGCCGGCGGGCGTCACCGCCAGGAGCTTGTGGCTGTTTTCAGTGGGGACTTTGTGAGGCCACAAGGGCCGTCTGGGTTTCAGGATGTCGAGCGGACTTGGTTCTGTGGCCCTCACTGCCCCCTGCATGTAATCAGTTCTTTCCGGAGCTGCCGTGAAAACCGAGTTGATAGTTGTCTGAGGACCAGGTGCCCCTGCCTCTCGGGGGCAGCGGTGCCTTCCCGGGCCGTGACCTGAGGGTCGCAGAAGGGGCCAGGCCCTCGTTTGGCGTGCAGAGGACAGCGAGGGTCCGGGCTGGCCCTGGGAGGCTGTCCTGCCGGTGCAAACAGACGATGCATTCTAAGGACGCTTTTCCTGTTCTTAGGTTTGCGACGGTGGTTTTGGGTTTGGTGAGCCTGAAAAACGTGGCGGTTTCGTTTGCCGAGACGGTGAAGAGCTCCGCGCCCATCTTCACCGTGATCATGTCTCGGATGATTCTGGGGGAGCACACAGGTGAGGGGCCCTCCTGCACCCTACCCTTGCACTCGGGCCGGGGCTGTCACCCTCCTCCGCCCACCTGTCCCTGCCGTGCTGGCCAGGGCCGCTGTGCGGAAGGCTGCTCCAGGCAGCAGCTGGAGCCTTGGTTTCTCTCCCAAGACGTCTTCTTAGCAGTCGCGGTCTCCTCCTTGGTTGGGTGAGCGAATGTTTCCTGGACCCTGCTCTGTGCGGGTGTCCAGTGTCGGCCCGTGCTGGTCAGACCAGGAGGGTCCTGCCCCCTGGACCCCGCTAGGTGGGGAGACAGGAATGGAGCAGATACCTGCTCGTGAGACGACATCAGTGCTGGTCACCGATCCAAGGAAGATGGGGAGCATCTCTGGTGGGCGCCCCTGCAGGTGGCCATGGCAGCCCGTCCTTGGGCTCACCTGTCCCCCTCCCTGCCTGCCTCCCAGCCCCTTCTCTGCACTACTCTTCCGGCTCCTGCTTCTCCGGCCTTCCCAAGTCTCAGAAAATCGGATTCATTGACAAAACTCCAGTCTTTGAATGATGTACAAGTTATTTCCAGTTACGTGTGGGACCCATGCCCCGGTTTTCTTACCAGCCTTTTAAAAAATAGCGTATCCGATATTCTTACACGGAAACAGCAAAGTGCAGAGTAATACACAAAACGCATAACCTTTTATCTAAGAGAGACACTAATGGATACACTTTTTTTGGTCTTTGCTTCTCCTAAACAAAAAATGCACCACGATCTTAAGACTAAGTCTCGTCTACATAGCGGGGAGGACAGCGCAGGGCCGGGGCTGGGCTCACCACGCACTATCTGTCCACCGTGTGCCTTGGGCGGCCACACCGATGTTTTAGGTGCATACAAGCAATCAATTAATCTAAACAGCTGCGTTTCTGAATCATTAAGCCCAAAACAGGGGCAAGCCGGACCTATGTGTATCAAGGCTGGATAGCTCGGCCACAGCAGAATGCGTGTATTTCAGGTGACCTTAACTCATGGGTGCACAAGCTTGGAAGTAACCGGTTCTTGCTGGAATATCAGCGAATCTTAAATTTAGTGATAGCTAACTGTGGGATGCGTCGGCATAGATGGCCGAGGCGGAGGGGCGACCTGGAGGGCCGGCGCTCGGAGCCAGGTCCGACTCAGAGAAGGGCCGCGCGCTTGCTGTTGTTGATCAGCGGATCGAGCAAGCGTCGGGGCTCAGAGGAATAACCAGGAGCGAGCGCTGGCCGCCATGCGACATGGGAGCTGGATGCAAGGCCTGCCACCCCCAGCCCGCAACAGGCCAAGAGCAAGCCCCTCGTGGGACGAGACGTGTTCGCTGTCCAGTTCCCTGCAGTTTCATACACGTTGGTGCCTCTTTTTATGCATTTCCGGGGCGACGAGTGAGGCGAGACCGAGCGAGGGGGAAACCCTGGGGGTGCTATCGCAGGCAGTGTGCTCCCTGGGCCCTGGGCCATCGTACATCGTGTGTCTCTTGTTTGCTGGCGCTGGGTGCCACGTTGGGGCTCGACTACATGGGTTTGCCAACGGCTCTGGGAGTTAAGGTTGCCTCCGGCAGTGGGATCCGTGACGGACGACGGCCTCTTCCTGTGGGGTCAGCGCGAGTTATCTGATGATGTGATGTTGGTTTTGTTTTGTTTTTCTAAACAAGCTTCTCTCCTCATTATTGGATTTCAACTAAATTCATATCTAGATAGATAGGCACAACCGTGCTGGCGTACCTGTTTCCAAACTAAAACGTGTGGGCAGTGAATAGGATTTCCTGCCTGAGCGGGCGTCTCTTACGAAAACTGTTCACGTAAAGGGTTTTTCATTTGTCGGGTGCGGTGGCTCACACCTGTATCCCTAGCACTCATTGGGAGGCCCGAAGGCGGGAGGATTGCTCGAGGTCGGGAGTTCGGAAACAGCCTAGCAAGGAGCGAGACCCATCTCTTCATAAATTGAAGAAATTATGGTCAACTAAGTTTTAGACTTAGCTGTATGGTGGGCTGCTGTAGTTCCCGAGTACTGGGGGAGGCTAGGCAGAAGGATCATGAGCCAGGGTTGTGGGTGCTGTGAGCGAGGTGAGGCGCACGGCATCACTCTAGCCTGGGCAACAAGCAAGACTCTCCAAAAAAAAAAAGGTTATTCATTATGTTGCAGAAGGAAACCGAAAGGAATAAATGCAATGTGGGCACATGTCGAACAGCCCCCACCCTGCCCACTCCTGGCCCCCAGGTTTCCATTTTTCACACAGTTACCGGGGACTGTCCCATCCCCCTCCTCACTTTGCAAGCCATGCACGGACTGGGCAGGAGGGACTCGGCCCGAGGCTCTTCCGTGGCGCCCGGGTGTCTGACTGAGGGCATCCCGAGGAGACGCAGCCGACATGGCCCCAAGAGGCACCCGCCGTTGGCAAGGGCTAGGGGACTTCCTTGCAGACGGATTTTATTTGTTTTCTTTTTCCCTCCAATGTGAAGAGCCGGGCAGGCCTTTGTTTCGTAATTAAAGTGAAAGTCCGTACCTGTCCCAAGGGGGCAATGGACACACCTGGGGCTTGCTGCCCCGTGGGTGACGGTGGGTCCCGTGTCGTGCTCTTGCCAGGGCTGCTGGTCAACCTGTCCCTGGTCCCGGTCATGGCGGGGCTGGCCCTGTGCACAGCCACCGAGATGAGCTTCAACATCCTGGGCTTCTCCGCCGCACTGTCCACCAACATCATGGACTGGTGAGTGGTGAAGAGTCCGGGCGCCCGTGGGTGGGCACGCGCCCTCCGTCTGGATTCGGGGGGACGTGGGCCCACATCAGCTCAGAGCGACTTCCTGTGACTCAAAGCCGGCTGCATCTGATGCCGCCTTTTCCCAAATAGGGAAACATTAAGTACCACGGTAAGGTGACTTTTCTCAGACGCGGAGCAAGATCTGAGGACACACGGCCTTGACGCTTAAAATTCTACCCCCAGAGGCCGGGCCCGGCGGCTCACACCTGTAATCCTGGCACTCTGGGAGGCCGAGGCGGGAGGATTGCTCGCGGTCAGGAGTTCAAAACCAGCCTGAGCAAGAGTGAGACCCGTCTCTTCTAAAAATAGAAAGAAATTATCTGGACAACTAAAAATATACAGAAAAAATTAGCCGGGCATGGTGGCGCATGCCTGTGGTCCCACTATCGGGAGGCTGAGGCAGTAGGATCGCTCTGAGCCCAGGAATTTGAGGTTGCTGTGAGCTAGGCTGACGCCATGACACTCACTCTAGCCTGGGCAACAAAGCAAGACTCTGTCTCAAAAAAAAAAAAAAAAAAATTACGGCTGCAGGAGGGCAGCCCTGGACCCACGGGGCTGTAGCCCCTTGGTAGCTGCGCTGCCAGGTCGTCCTGGCGGCTCCATCCTACTCGAGTGGCCTTCCGTGTCCTGGTGTCACGCTGCTGAGAGACGATGAGAAAGCGACTTCCCTGTGGGGACAGCCACGCGGCGGGTCCCAGAGGAAAAGCGCCGTGTTATTAGCGTTCTCACGCAGCAGGGAACAGGGCCACTCACAATTGCTGTGTATTTCTTTTTCTGTCTTCTTCTTTTTTTAAAGAGACAAGGTCTCACTCTTGCTCAGGCTGGTCTTGAACAGCTCAGCTCAAGAGATCCTCTGCCTCGGCCTCCCAGGGCGCTGGGATGACAGGCGTGAGCCACCACCACCGACGCCCGGCCTCAACAGTTGCTGTTTAGATCATTCCAGAACTGGTCACCTCGCTTCCCTGCTGTGTGGTTAAGTCCACACTTCAGCCTCGACAGCAAAACCCGTTCTTTCAGAATTACTAATGGCTTCTAGGTTTCACCTTTTTTTTTTTTTTTTTTTTTTTTGCCCTGTGACAGTTTCCCTCTGTTACCCAGGTTGGAGTATGTGGGTGTCATCTTAGCTCACAGCAGCCTCTAACCCCTGGGCTCAAATTATCCTCCCGCCTCGGCTCCCGGAGGTGGCTGGGATTACAGGTGTGAGCCTCCACACCTGACCATTTCCT